GTAGTTGTCTACGAAAAAGAGGAGCGACGACAAGGGTTGCGAGTGAGCCAAATGTAAGTGAGTACATAAGTAGTAAGATCAAAACCGAACTGAAATTTTCATAAATTTTCCGCTATCATTCTGGTAATAATCACGAACTTGCTTCGAACTATCCAAAACCTTAAAGAAGATGCAGTACACTTATTTCCCAGTTTGCTTGAGCAGAAATTTCAGTTTTCGGGAACCGCGAGTCTTGTAGAACCTTTTGCAACCTTTCCAGTTCCAATCACAAGCGAACTTGCGCCTTTCCTCCATAATTCAAGCCAAGGGGGTTGCGTAAGCCATAGAAAATTGCGCGCTCGACAAACAATTCCGCACTCCACGGTCAATAGTTACGGTAGCCCCGGCTAGCCCCGATCGCTCGTCGTTCGGGAAGTTCTCCCCTCGAACCAGTGAGCGTGGCCTCTCCCCGAAAGCTCTCCCCGAGAGCATACCTTACTGGGAAGGGGACCCATCCCTGTTCGGGGGAGCATACCTTACGGCCCCTGGTATTACTCGCATAGATTTTTTTTCCTTTTTTCTAAACGATTCCTTGTGTGCACTTTCACTTCTTTCTAATTCAGACACATCAGTGTAGCGAGCAAGCGGAGCTCCCTGCAATCATTGACCTTGCCTTAAGCGATGACTCGTGTGACCCGTCGGACTATGACATGGAGAAAAAGGTAAAGATTAGCAGTCGTGATTTTTCTTTAAAACGCCGCTGTCACGTAAAGCGCGTTTTGTGTGTGTAGTTGCAGTTTTTATTTTTATTGAATCATCAGCGGGAAGCCTCTCGCAGTTCTCGTCACCGTTTAATCGATATTTTTTGGGGCCCTAACCTTGACGTGCCCTGGCTTTGACGTCATGCACTCGTTTCCACCCGTTCTTTTTATCACGAACTTTCCTATTTCGCATCGTTCCTAAACTCAGTGTAACTGCTTATTATTTGTTTGGCTGAGCTCATACTGACGCAATTCCATGAGCGAATGGCGACAGCCTGCGGGCGCTGACGTCATTTGATATCTGTTGTGTTCCACTATTGTCTTGATAGCCTTGCAGCAGAACAGATACTGGGTACGACGTTTATTGGAAAGCACTGCCGATACAGCTGGAGGCGAAGTAGACTGGGCAGGAATGAACTACCACCATACCGAACTCTCATTTGTATAGCTTCAACAACACAAGGATGAGACCACTCTAGTGGTTATCATCATAACCACCACTACACACAACAATATCCAACAGTTCGATGATTCAGTATCATTAGAGTGTGGGGCTGGAATATGCCCGAGGCACTTCAGCATGCCTGCCCTGCTTTACTTTTTTTTCGTACATCTCTTAGTTTTGTGTTTCAGTCATACTGTGTGCGCAAAATTCTAGTCCAAGTCCCTATTCATAGAACACATTTTGGACTATGCGATTGGAAAAGGAACAAGAAAGCGTTTTGCGGGAAACTTTACTCATTTCAATCTACGAGGCAATCCAAATAAAAGGTGTAAACAGTCGATATATGAATAGGGAACTTTTTGCGGAACAAAACCAAGTAAAACACGACCAAGCGCGTCAAGGGAATTTTTCCTATCATGAATGGTTAATCTGTAAAATATCGAACGAAATCATCGCCTGTTGCCTGTCGTCTTTCGCTTAGTTTTTCGCTAGCGCGCGACTAATGATGGGTTTTCTACGGAACTTAAAAGGCGCAGTTCACGAGAATTCAATGGGCGGGAACATCAATGGCTTTCCCGCCTCTCGATCGATGTCACGTCAGACGAGTGTCGAGACAATACGGGTTGCAACTATTCGTTCTGGGACCCCATACACAACCAGCGATCGCCGAGTGATGAGGCGATGTTTTTCTCCCATTCTTTTCTCCTTTAATATTCTTTTTGCTGCCGCGATCCCTTATTTAATTTCCTACTCCTAGAGGCCGGAAAAATGAGCTAATTTTGCTGTTTCTAGGGTTTTTTTGTTTTCTTATGCTTATACGTGAATGAATTTTTGCTTACCATAGTCTGTTATTCGCACCAGGACCCACACGTATGCAGTGAGACTCATTGTATAGCTCGTCCAAGCGCCTCACTCTTCCTCATTTTTCTGGTCTCATTGTCGTCCAGCCCGGTTTCAGCTCTCTTTTTAACGGTTTTTCGAAGCCTTTTCTTACTTTGGAAACACCAATTCACGCAGTTTCTCCACCTTCATCGCACTACCTTCGATCTTGTCTTCCATTTTTCATTATAATCTGGACTACCCAAAATTATTATGAACTGTGCCTTTAAAGAGAGACCTAGGTATATCGATAGAGTTTGGAATGCTATTTGCAAGTTTAAAAATTAAAACTGCTAATTTAGTCTACCAAAAAAAGTTGTGAGCGCTCAAATTTTGCCTGCTCGAAGTATTGAGAAGTAGTGTCAGTTGAGTTGCGCAGTTACCCGCAAAAACAGCAAGGGCCGCCATGGAACAGTGGCCGTGCCTTCTTCTTCATCCGAGCGATGTGGATTTGTTCTCCAACGTCTTGCTTCCTCTTACAGATTATATTATGCTTAATGCAAGCTCTTGGCATTTTTGTTGTGACAAATCCAAGTGAGCGCCTTGTTTCGGATATTACTTGCGGTCACCGCACTTATTTAAAAAAATTTTTCCGCCTTATTTCTGTAACGCTCTTTTATTCTCAACATTGATGCCCGCACACCCGAGTGACATCATCTTGGAATGTAGTAAGTAACACGAGAAAATTCAACATCGTTTAAACAACCCAAAAAATTGTGGAGTAAACGTGTATTTATTTGGTTTCGAATCGATTGCTTTGTTCCTTGTTGCAGAGAGACAGCATGTACATATAGGGCTCGCATTTTGTGAAAAACATGCCTGCTTTGCTCAATTTTTTGGATTACTTCATCAATCTTGAGTTTTTACGCATATCTTTTCCAGTTGATTGGCGAGAGAACACACTGACGAGTGAATGTTTATTGCTCCCCTCTCACTCTTTCATACAATCCTTTATCCCTCTTCTAGATCATCTTGTATCTTCTCCATCTTCCTTCTTCGCACGCCACTTCCAACCGTTGTCCATTTTCGCTGGTCTTCATCATATACCGGTCTACCCTACAACATCCCCCCGTAGTGACCGTCCGTCGCTCTACCTGCACCTTGATAACTCCGCAGGCCCCGGCCACTTACTGTGCTACTTACTCAACATCGCTTCAAAACACTATCTCTAAAAACACTATTTAAGCAGAACATCATTCCATCGCTCTCTCAAGAGAGCATTGTGTGGCTTCTTCCACAACCGGGGCCGCCGCTTCCATTACGGCGCCCTTGTCATCTCCCATTTGACGGCGGCCATTTTCTTCCTCCACGTTCCTCTGGATTCCCCTGCGGGAGTCGGGTACGACCCCGTACAGCGACAAGTCCTGTGACAGACCGAAGGGGGCAACGCCGCCCTGTGCCCGCCAGCCCATCTCGATCTATACGAAGCACGAGCTCCTCGTTCACGAAAAGTGCGCGCACGCACCTGCGCGCGCGCGGTTCGGGAAGCTCGGGAGCGCTCCTGCTAAAAATAACCTGTTTACTTCTTGGCTCCCTCCTACTAAACACTCACAATTCACCGTTTACAAAACGATCACCGCCGGAGTCGGAGAACTCGGGGGGCTCACCACCACCACGGGGGTCTGGGGCGACCCCTAGACCAGAGGTGGGGCCTCTGCGGCTTGTCCCAAAGAATGTATCGGTGGCCCTGGTGCAATGTTCATCCGCTTCTCCAACAGCAAGCCAATGAACCTTACCGCCCTCCATCCTTTTTATACCCTTAGCCTCCTTCCTATCACGATCTTGACTCCTTATCAGACCAATACTAGCCAGATGTTATTCGTTTTCGATCTTTTTTCCGCTAAATAACACTTCATCTTTTCCGTCATTTTTCTCTTTTTGGCTGTTCTTTGCGGTGAGTCTTTTCGGCTATCCACTTCTCCTCTCCCTGGCTTGGGCACACCTGCTCCGGCCGGCCTTCTTCCTTTCTGAGGATCCTCCTCTTCCTCCCAAAAGATCACCCCCTTCTTTATCTGGTCCGCATGGGCCATCCGACTACCGGTGCCGCAATGCACTCAGTAGGTGTTCGATCCCACCTTTTCCAGGATGACTCCTGAAATCCATTTCTCATGTCGGCTTTGATAACTACGCAAATACACTTACTGCCCTACTTCGGATTTCCTTTCCTTCGCCCCTTGTCATACTGCTCCTTCATCCGCCTCATCTATGGGGTCGATATCGAGTTACTAGCGGCCTTCATCAAATCCAACGTCGTCCTCAACGAACGTCCCATTGACATTGCTGTCGGAGAGGTCCCCGTCACCGGGTGCTCCGTTACCCTATATTCAAACAATAAATCTCTCACAGTTGCCTCTAACGTCTTGCCGGCTTTCCGCCCTTTATAGTAACCCTTTTTGAAAGTTCGCACCAATCTTTCCGCCTCCCCGTTAGAGTTGTGGTGATAAGGTGGAATGAAAATCAATTCGAGTGTCCTTCTTCTACAATACTCCTTAGATTCCTTCGCTATGAATTGTGGCCTATTATCAACCACTATTTGTTCTGGTAGCCCATGAATACTAAAGATATCCTTCAACTTTTCTATCGTTTTTCTACCGTGGTTGACCCCATTTGCACCGCTTCGGGCCATTTTGACTTTGCATCCACTATCACCAACCATCTCCTGCCGTCAGCGGTCTCGGTAAAATCCATATATAATCTTTGCCAGACTTTTGCTGGCGTTTCCCAGGGATGCAACGGTGTTCTCATCTAACCATTCTTCTCAGGCTGCGCAAGTATCTCGGGCTTGTGCCATCTTCTGTATATCTTTGTCCATTCCCGGATACAACACCTTCCTCCTGGCCAGCGCCGTCATCCGACTCCTTCCACAATGACTATGGTGTAATACTCCCAATACCATCCTGCAAAACTTGTTCGGGATCACGACTCGGCTATCCCACATAAGACACCCTTTATATACATTTATATCTGCCTTAATCTTCTCGTACGGTTGTAGCTCCTTTTCTTTTACCCTCGGGGGCCATCCTCCCATTACATACCTGAACACCCTCTTCAGTATCTCGTCCTCTTGTGTTGCCTTTGCCACTTGTTGCTCGTTTAATACCATATGCTTCCATGTTTCCGCCGTCATCTGTTTCTCCATCACCTCATTTACCACCATCTGTGAGCTCGGTTATTCCCTAGGATCTGGCAAACTGGATAGCCCCTCGAGATTCCCGAATTCCGAGGTCTTCCTGTATTCTATATCGAACGAATATATCATGAGGCGAACGCTCCAACGGTGTAACCGTTTTGCTGCAATCGTGGGNGGTTGATCGTCGCTTTATAATCTCCACATAATCTTATTTTCCCTCCTGGCTTGGGGACCACCACTAGTGGTGTGGCCCATTTTCGAGTATTCTACTCTCGTGAGCGTACCTTTATCTACTAATTCCTGTAACTTAGCCTCAACTTTAGGTCTTAAAGCAATGGGGACTCTGCGAAATTTGGGCTTTTCTATACCCTCTTTCAGCTTCAGTGACACTTGCTGTCGCACATCTACCCAGTCCTTTCTGGAATAGTACTTGGTTTTCTTCTAGTAGGCCCTTAATCTTTTCACGCAACTGCTCCTTTTCGCACTTGGGGTCCGGATCTGTCCCATTTCGAATGTTCTACTCTCGTGATCAATCAATCTGTTCTATCTGGAGCTTCCTAATCATGTCTCGGCCACACAGTGGGTGGTTGGCCGTATGTAACACATAGACTTCCATCATTACAGCTCGTTCCTCGAACTCGATGCAAATTCTTTAAACATCGACCGTCAAAACTGATAGGGCTATTATTGTAAGCCGTAGCCCTAGTTTGGTCGGTTTCATTTCTGGCTTGCCTATCTTCTTTCAGATTGTTTCATCTATAATTGAAACTGAGGCCCCTGTATCGAGCTCAAAATCAACTCTGCTCCCATTCACCATTAGGGGATCATTATGGCCGGTTCTATGGCCATTCGCACTCTTGATCCAACTCTACTACAATTTATTGGAGATTCCTGAAACTTCCTTGCTTTTAAGGATCTCCCGTCTTTTAGTGAGATATTTCCTATGTGATTCCGGCATCTCGCTATTCGTACGCTACTTACCGTTATTTCTTGTTCTTCTTCGGAATCACTATGCTCCGCTTACCAGTGCATCTGGCGGGATGCCTTGGTCGAGGATTGCCTCATCCGACAAACTTTGGGTAGATACCCCGGTCGTGAACGCAAATTGCAAAACGCTTTACCCTTGGAAGAACATTGCTTCGCTATGTGTCCACGACCACCGGATACCCAACACTGCTGCGGTCCAGTGGGTGGAACACGGGTTCGTTTCTCTACAATTCTACTTCGGTCTCTGGTCCCTGTATTAGTAGGACCTGCCTTCCGAATTGAACTGCTCTTCCGTCTTTCCACCCTCGCTCGAGAAGGGAGTCTCGGTACTCTAGGTGCAATAGCTGCCACTTCTAGTTCAGTGACTCTTTGCTTCAAATGAGGTGCGTTCTTGCCAACTCTTTACACGGCTCTGCCTTCTCCAACACCTCTTTCGATGTTAACTCCTCCCTCTTGAGCAGCCGCTTCCTAGTTTCTACAGATGTCAACCCACCTATGAATACCATTGGCACCATCGCATCCCGCATATCTTTGACCTTCTCGAATCCACATGCACTAGCTGCCGTCTGCACTTCTGCGTAGTATTCCTGCAGCGTTTGATCAGCCTTCTGCGACTTGGACAGTGTCCGAAGCGTTCCGCCATCTTCGGCTGAAACTGCTGCTCCATAGCTTGCTTCAGCTGCACCATTGTAGCTGTTTCTGGCTCTTTGCCTTGTAACTAAGATTCCAAGAACTCATACTTTGAAGCGCCAACCTCTTGGAGAAAGATGAGGCGTTTATCACCCTCATCAGTTACTCTCCGTAAGGTCAGAAAGTTTTGGAATAGCCTCCACCAGGTATTCCAGAAAGTCCCCGGTTTATATGGCTCTGGACTCCGACCTCGATATACATCGAGGGCCGTAGCAGGGTCCTGACCTGCTGGGAGACTCTAATTGCCCTGGTGGATGCTCCAACTTTCGCCCTTTTCGTCCATCTCCTTTCCTGTTGGTTGGTGGACTGCCTCTGGCCTTGTGCTTGTGATCCTTAGCTAACTGGTGGGCTGTTCTTCTGTCTTCTTCGTTCCTCGTCTGACGTTGGTGTTCTTCTTCCGCGTCTTCTTTCTTGAGTCCTCCTGATCGCCAGTTGATTGGCGAGAGAACATACTGACGAGTGAATGTTTAATGCTCCCCTCTCACTCTTTCATACAATCCTTTATCCCACTTCTAGATCATCTTGTATCTTCTCCATCTTCCTTCTTCGCACGCCACTTCCAACCGTTGTCCATTTTCGCTGGTCTACCCTACAACATTTTCAAGGTGATTTCTCCTATGTAGATCTCATGGTCAACCACGGAAATGAAGGAGACTCATAGAATTAACTTGTAGAACCGTTTCGCCCTTTAAAAGAGCAGCAAGCCTCAACGAAACCCGGCATGAGGAAGAATTAGTAGCAGTGTTGTAATATTTCATGTTATTACTATAATATATATCAAAAATGCTATCAAAGCTCCCACTGGTAGGAAAGCACGCTTTGTTGAAATCGGCATGAGGGCTACGAGCAAACCCGGATTACTTGAAAGATGTACGCGTAAAAACTCAATACTGATGAAACAATCCAAAAACTAGTGAAGCAGATATGTCGTTCACAAAATGCGAACCCAGTACATGTCTATCCACATCCGTGGGCGAAACTCTGAACCGATCAAAGACCAAAGAAATACGCGTTTCCTCTACACATTTTCGAGTGTCGTGCAGTAGGATGGAAGTTGTCGCGTTGCGGAGAGAGGGACGCGGCGTAGCAGAATGGAGCAGCAGATAAATATAGGAACAAAAGAACTAACAGTAGAATCATGCCATGAAATAATGATCGCATATCGATTGAGCTGTCTGAAGAACGCTAGAGCTGTAATAACGGCGAAGTGAATGGTCCGCGGCAGCCGCGTGCGGCGAATTGACTACACAAAAGCGGTCACACTGCCCATCTCCCCGTCTGGGTTGTTTCGTCGATGTTGAGTTTTATCGCGTATCTATGCTCCAAGAATATTTCACTTCTGTGTTTTAACCTTGAAAAGAAAAAGCGGCACAGAAATGAGACGGGGAAATTTTCAAAACAAGTGCGGTGATCGCAACTAATAGCCGAAACAAGATGCTAACCTCAATTAGTAGCAGAAAGCCGTTTACAAGCTATTATTGGAGAGAAAGCACGTTCTGCAAGAACATGGCACGAAAAACACGAAAAACGTGGCGCGGTGAGCAAAGCCTCGTCGCTCGCCTGAAGAGATAGAGAACTGCTACTGCGCCGCGGCAACCCTTGCAGTGCGGGCAGCTACGCATTTCGATTGGAACTACCTTTCCATGCTCTAGGCGAGCAAACTGAGGGCTCTCAATTCTTTTGGTAGACTTATTTAGCAGCTTTAATTCTTAAATTTGTAAATGGATTCCTATCTGCATAGATCTACCTCGGTCTCTATTCAAAATTTCATGGGAAGTTCAAACCCTTCCCTGGTAAGGCCCCAACTGCAATGCTCTCATTTGGAAGCATTCAAAAGGAAGACTTGAAGAGGGCGCCCTTAAATTTTGGATTTTAGGCTCCTGATGATGCCTACTCAACTGGCCTCGAGCCGGAAAACGATAGCGAAGAGGACGAAGTTAACAATCACTCTGTGCCCCATAGCAAACCGGTACTATTCTATAACGGCATACTATTTAAAATTAACATTTGTTTTGTTCTTGAAATCTTCAGTATTTGGCCAAGCAGGTGTATCTGTGCTAGCTGGAAGACTCGATATTGAGAAGTATTCCCTTTTAGACCAAAATCGATTCGAGGTCGCTGCGGAGCTCTTTACGCACATCGGTTGCATTTATGAGACCGAGAAAGGTAACGTTTTTTTTTTCATTAAAGTGCTATGGTTTGACAGCGATGAAAAATTTTTAGCAGCGATAAATATTTATGTTGCAGAAGAAGATAAGTCTACGAAAATCTGCAGTGGAGAAAAATGAGCGAACACGTCGATACAGGAGGGTTCAACCAGTCAGCTCGTCAAGTGATGATGATTCTGGGAACGAAGATGAAGTGGAGCCGATGGAGACTGACCGCACTTCTATTGATGATGCTCACGATTCGATGCATGGCTTAGAGAAGGAAGATTCGACGGTACGAGCTGATTTTCAAGTGGTTTTTGTTTCTACATGAAATTGCTCGTCAAAATTTTTGTAAATAGTCTTTTCGACGAGAATCTCTTGTCCTAGGACGACTGCTCCGGTTCTGATTCGGAGGAGCCAAAACAGGAAGCTGCTAAACAGTCGGCCACCTCTTTGAATTCGTCATTGCGTAAAAAGAGACGAGCAAGGTTTGTTTCGAAGAAAGCGCGTCGTCTGAAGGAGTTCCAGAAACGTATGGCACGAATGACAAAAGTAGCGGAAAGAAGACTGCATGAGGTACATTCCTGCTCAACTTTTGCTCAGTTCATAAGATCCTATCAGAATGGCGCGCTCACAAGCTACAACCTGCTATTTAATCCATGTAGTTCATAAACAAAGGCATCTTTCATAGTCCTCGACCCGCTAGCGACTGGCGATCGCGCGGGACCGTCCACGGCGGCACCCATAACTAGCGCGGCCTCCTCGACCGATCGAGCTACCAGTGGCGCGATCAGTCGAGTGACCAGTCGAGCGACCAGTCGCTAACAACCGGCGACCAGTCGCGCGATCGGTCGCGCGACCGGTCGTGGACTATGAAAGATGCCAAAGTGGTTTTTGAGATCCCCCCCCCCCCCTCCAGAATGACCTCTGATTCCCCATGGATAGCACATGGGACATTGCTGGGTCGAAAAACGACCTCGACAGGGCGTTGTAATGACTTCAAAACCAGCTTGGCCAACGTACACATCCGAAAGCGGCCATGTTATACAGTAGCGGTCGAATATCTCGATTAAACGCTTTTCCAGTCGCAATTTTCCTCCTACTTCATTAAATCATAGGTTTTTTTTATTTTACTGTCTTAATCGAAGACATTATTGTGAGTACTTCACGTTGTTACACTGCAATTTACTATCGTTCACGATACATTATAGATTGAACTCAAATTCAATGGGAAGTACGGATAGCATTTACTGAAGAAAAACCGTTAGATTTCGGAATGAGAACATACAAAACACCTAAAGCAATATTTTGTTGGAAAGTCATGACTATTGACGATACCATCGCAATGAGAAGGTATCGAGTCGATTAGAATGGTAGACGCTGGCATGGCGGTCAACTTCCTCGCTAGTTGAGCGGATTTTCTTCTCAGTTTCTACAAAGTTGGTTTGAACAACGATTTTTAGCTCTTCCCACATGTGTTCCATAGGTTTCAAATCCGATCCGGTGTCTGGCTTGGCCACTCCGGAAGTCCGATTCGCTGATCACTGAAGGCCGCCTTAAAAACCATTGAGGGATGTGTCGGACCGTCATAGTGCGGCAGGATCCATCCTACTGGCATGTGCTGCTGTGGCCACGGCAAGACGATGCCGACCATCATGTTTTTAAATCACTTCCCCGTGTCAGCGATTCTCAAGATAGGACCCATTCCGTTTGAGGAGGAGGCACTATTTACCATCATACTTCCTCTACCATGCTTGGTTGTGAATAGGATGTGCAGGGTGTTCCAAAATTATGGGCACTATTTCATGGCAATGTATTTAAAGCTTAACAGCTAAGAAAAACAACGGAATATATATAACACTATGTACTACAACATACTACAATGGCATTTCAAAAAATCCTCCATGAGCGCGGGTAGAGGCCCAATGTTTGCTCTCGTGCTCCTCGCGTGTTGCACACGGGTATTCTTAATTTCTTCCCATCCGTTCTTCAGTCCTTCTCTCTAGCACTTCAAACTGGTACTGCAAACTCCATCGTTTCTACTAATCAGAGAGGATACGGACGAGTCAAGTGAGCTAAGATCTGTGGAGCAGCATGACCATTCCTCTCCGAATGAAGCGAAATTTTGCGTAAGATGGGTTAGCAGTGGAGCTTCTGCATGACATTCTTCCATCGCGATAACTCCTATAAGCCGTGCCCGTTGACCTCCTTTTGAAGGATCACCCAGGATCTCGACCGACTAGCCGGATCATTTTTAATAGTCCTTTCTTTAGAAACATTGGTCTTTCTACCTTTTCTCTTTGTTGGAATTTCATGATGCCATTCCAACTCTCGCATGTCAGTGATTGCAAGTGGTATTGAAAGAACATCGGCCTTTAGTGACCATGCATATTGTAAGAAAACCTCCCTTGTGCAACTAATTAACAGCGAGTGAAGTGAATATGATGAGTTACTTCCACATTATAAATTCATGAGTTTTGCCGCCCATTTTGGGACAACCTGTACTTTGAACTGAACGTTTCCTTAGATTGACGTAGTATTTACCGTATACCACGCTTCCAAACAAATTGAACTTGGTCTTGTCTGTAAAAGAACTTTACTCATTCAGTCTAAGGCGACGGTGCGCAAGCTCTACTCGGTTCTTCCTATATTTGGGCTGATGAGCGGCCTCTTGGCTTTGCGTCCTCTGTAAATACAAGATGTTTGGGCGTCTTCCTACTGTCCGCTGGCTAAGAATGATGTCATGGCTAGCGCTGAATTGAGCTGCAGTGTCAGCCGTAGTGAGGCGAGATTCAGCCTTCGACCGCTTGGCTGATGAAGTACATCGGAGCCTTCTCGTTTTCTTAACATTGGAACAGAGTTCCTGACTTGATAGCTTTGGATAACCGAAATTGTGTGCTGTGAATAATCCAAAATTCTTGAAATTGCAGTGACCCCCATGCTCGATCCCTTCGTGTTTACTGCTGCCTGCCGAATTTCCTGACTGACTTCTGTCCTTGCGATGCCTTAAGTGTACAAGCGCTAACGTTGAGCCCAAATGTGATGCAAAGAATGCAAATATTGCGAACCTTGCAATCAGGAGAAACCGCTTCACTGGCAAATCTTTTGCATGTAGACACTCCCCTCAGTTTTGAAGCCAAGAAGTATGAGTTGGGATGTGGTTCGACATGTCAAGGTTTTTCTGGTGTCCCTTCGCTTGTGAAATAGTTATGATTGGAAAACCGTTTTAACGGAGACTTTTGACCGCTACTGGGCAGCGCTGTTAAAGCTGCGCCATTAACAGTGAAGCGTCAGGGCGCCGACGAATAGTAGGCTCATTGGGAGACATTCAGACGATTAAGACACGTAGTCTTGTTCAACCCCATTCTTATTACTTTTTTTGAGCCTTATAATTTTTAAATCAGCTGATTTCTGCGCTTTCTTACCATTTCTACACTACTTGTCGCCATGACTTCATTATTTCACAGAGGTGAATTGCCTCAAAATTATGTTGAGCTGTGCCTTTTAGTACTCAGGCAATTGCATTGCACACGCTACCTGATTCTGGACAGCAGTACGTAGAGAGTCCGCAAGTCCATCGAATGAAGTCGTGTACTGTGTCATTTATCATTACTCAGGGTAGTATTAGTTTGCAGTTCTTACTTGTAACGACCAACAAGAACAGCGGATTGGCGACTCTTACAAGGAAGATCTTCCAGGGCGTGGGACGCTTTTTGAAAATGGTTTCTTGCATGGTATAGGGGCATGAGCAGTGAGTATAGAACTATGGTCCATTTCCGCCAACTGGTCTTCTGAATGGTAAAAAAGGGTGAAAATTATTTTATCAGAAATTGCCGTTTTAACCCACTAGGCGTCGCTTGTTTCATGGGCATGTGAACAGATAGAAGTCGAAGATGGCTCAGAAAGTAGAACTTTCATCAAACCGTTTATATTCCCTTTTTGATTGCTAAACCGAGAGGAGGTATGGAAAATGAAGGATGTGACGTGACTCGCCGAGGTATGGTACTATTTGATCAGATTAAGTCCTTTGGGACAAAATAGTCTCATTCTACAATGATCTCAGTGCGGGGCTGACAATGGATTCCCCTTTAGTGGAACCGTGATCTTCTTTTAAGATGCTCGCATACGGTTTTTAAGGCGCAGGTCACGATAGGAATGGTATCTTAACCCCCTAGGATTAACTAATGGCTTGCCATGGTAGCACAAAGGACGCTGTCGGATTGGAAAACAGTTTGTATCGGGCTCAACAAAGGCCCGACAGCCAGCTTAGCCGACGTCCATCCCCAAACGCGAGATGTGTTGTCGAGGGTGTAGGGGTTGCACCAATCCCAAAAGGACCTACACGTTAAACATGCAATCAGCTGATCGCCGTAGGGGGAAGGGATGCTATGAGCTACCTATGCTGCTGGGTGCAATGGCACACGCAGGGAGCACGTCCAAGCACATATTCTTCGTCTTATTCCTATCCAACCCCGATTTGTTCGACTCTTTTAAGGCCTGTTATTTTATCTGGGCGGAGTTGTTGAAGTTGCAAATGGCGCACTATCACACAGCATGGCCACTGCTTCCGATCCCGATTCGATATCCGCCTAGGCCAACCAAGCCTTCTATCCTTCTGGCGTCCGTTAATAGGTAATTGATAAGTATCAGACTCGTCTGAAGGATAAGAGCACTGACTTGTCCATCGGCTGGCTATCGCAAGTCATTGTATAGACCACATACGCATTCAACACGCCACTACGATTCTGAATGGAAGTCGAATGCGCGAGCGCACCCTTCAGGCGAGTTGATTAACACCAAAAGAGTTTGTCCTTCATGCATGCGTGTGCACCACCGAAATCTTCGAAGTTTCTAATAGATTTGATTTTGAATAACGGTCAAGACCGTGTGCCCTTTTTTGCAGCTATCCGAACTATGTCCGCTTGAGACGATTCGAGAGCTACGAAACTCGAAGCCTGATCTAGCATTGTACACAAACGATTACGTCGGCAGACCAAAAGTGCGCCAGAGTGACATGGATATGTTAGCATACAATGCAGCCCGAGGCGATTTTGAATGGGTCTGTTGAGTTTGGATTATTACGTATCACATTAAACTTGATTACTGCCTGTCCGGTTGATCGGCGGGGACATTTAAGGAGTGGTACAACGATGCTGAACAGCTGATTAGTCGTCTTATGATTCAAGAGTCATCTGATAGGGTTGAAGACCTTGAGAACGACATTAAATTTGCACGCATCGAAAAGTGAGTTTTTTCTTCAGAAAATCGAGGGCATCATCCTTATAAGCTCTTCAGGTATTACCGTATTCTCAAAACTCGAAAATCGTACCGCCGTGCTATAGTGGAGCACGATAAGATTTCGGCATTTTTCAGATTCATGATGGTACGCATGTTACATTTCCCTTTTCGTTGACTCCAATACATCTTATTAATTTTTACTTCTCAGAATATGACCATGGAAAAACGTAAAGCTAGCCAAATCTTCGCTCAGCGTCCTCCCTTAGAGAAACTGTTAATTCGTGCTCAGCAGTGTTTATCCAAAAGAGAGACTGAAGATTTACGAAGCCATGTAGAAAGTGAGTTTGTAGTTGGACAATTCTACCGAGTCCATTGTTATAAGTTATAGGAGCTGATGAACTTATGGGAAGGATTGCGAAGCTCCAAGAATTGCAACGTAATGGAGTAACAACTCTGAAAGGTTGGTGCTTTTTATAACTTTTAAACTGCGTATCCCCACTATGTTTTTATCGATTGGTTCCTCATCGCTGATGCGGAATCAATTTCCAACCCACTTGCGAACTTACCAGCCGAAGCAAACAGCTTGCGTCAATTTTTGATTTTAAAAGATAAAATGGAGGGTTCTTTGACTTGTTTGTTGTACAAAAAACTGACGTGCGCTGTTGCAGAAGCCGTGTTCCTGGTGGTCGTGCTATGCTGGATGCGCTTTCTAATGGACTCGCTACCAACACTGATATTTCTGAGTACGCTCGTTGAATTGTACCAAGTGAAGGTGTTGTCGTGGACACATCTCCTCAACAAAGTGTTGCGATGTTTTGGAGGACGAAAGACTCACTCGAGGCAACCCTTTTTGTCTTGTTCACTGGAATTCAAAGCGGAAGAAGTTACGTTTGTAGAAGAAATATTAGTCGAAAATCTTGATGGTCAACTGCACTTAATTACGTTTCCGCTGAAGTTCCACAGTCCATTAGCCGTTCCTGCCAGTCTGTTGCGACGCTTCCGACAACGTGGACGTGTTACTACTCATTATAATGGTGAAACTACAGAGGAAGCTCAACATGCCTCGTCTGTTGACATGCCCTTAGCATCACAATCGTCTGGAAGTTACCCCGTGAATGTGGATGCTGTGCTTGGAGCTAGTACTGTGGAGGACATTGCGGATACTCATCCAGACTTTGCACGTCTTCTGCTAGATTGCTATTCGGCTGGATGCGATCTCGAAGAGTACAAGCGTGAATTCCAACGTTTGAAAAATCTAAGAATAAAACGGCAAGGAGGAGTCAATCAAACCTTGAGCTTTTCGCTGTTTCCATCTGTACCCTCCGACCTGCCGGGTCACTTATTCGTAAGGTTGCTCAAATTTCATTCGGTTTACGAAGGCGCGTGCAGGAAGTACCTGACAGACGTTGTTAATAAAAGAGTTGAAGCGTCGCCAGGGTTCCCATACGACTTGTCGACAGTCGGTTTACAAGATCTTGTTCAGGGCGGTTCTTCCACCGAATATTACCGTGTAGAAAACGGAACCCAGTCTGTCAGTGGTTCCTACGTTGCCACCCATGCTCACTTCGTTGATCCATCCGGTGTGGCTCAAGGCATGTCATCTGCAGTGGCGTATTCCCCTGCTTCAAATAGTCTTTATTCGCAGAGGCTTTCTCAACACGGAGTACATTTGAACGTGGATCGAAACGTGGCAATGACAGGTCTTCCGGAGTCCACAACATGCATGCAACGAAGTACAATCAATCAAATGCAGGAAAGAAGTTCTCAGTCGAGGGTTGCCTCAATATATGTCGATAGGCGAATGACAGCCACACCGCTGCCAAGCTGGTCACAACAGTCCAACACTATTTCTGAAATGCGTTCTCGAATGGCCACTCCACTTCCGCCGCTCGAAATCAAGCAATGTCCGGTTTTACAAACCGGTCTTCCAACTCCCGTTCTACTCACCGAAAATCGACAAGCGCAGACGTCGATTGCCCATCATAGGCATATGGCGACGCCGATACCTGGAATGGAAGGTGTGCAATCGTACAGTGGCATGTGTGGCTCGCATGGTCAGCATTATCAGCAAATGCCAAGCTCTTCTGAAATACATGGAAATCCTACAGACAACAGAGGAATGATGGCATCAACGCCAATGATCGGTAGTGTTGAATCGTTGTCGCAGGCGTCACCATTTGCTACACCAACCAAGAAACCACGTGCTCGTCGAAAACCAGTTGTCACATCTCAAGCTCAAATTCAAGGGCAGCATGCAATTACTCTGCATAGTCGGCAAATGAACGCGACTCCAATTCCTGGATGGCAAGAACATCATGCAAAGTCGAATATGGGAATGCAAGGGCAACCACACCATATACAACATAGAAATCTAATGTCTGCCTCTGTGACACCGTTGCAGAGACAATTAAGGACGCCTGTGCCAGATCATCGTGAGATGATGAATGCTACCCCTTTGCCTGGATGGGCACCCAATCAAATGGGAAATAGTAGCAATCAGGTTGAGCGTAGCCCACTAGTTTCTTCTCTACCTCCGCTGTCTCAATTTACACCTATGCAGCAGTCACAGACGCGTCAACTAAAGACACCCTATCAATCAATGCAAAACCGACAGCTTGTGACTTCCGTACCTCATACTCAGCAGCGTGCCATGAGTACACAGCCGTACGAGCAGTCATCCCACACTTATACGCGATCGCGCGAAATGATGACCCCTGCTCCCTTTGCTCAAACCGAATCGGTCAGTGTCCCATATATACAGTCGCAGAGTATTGGAGCAAATATAGGATCTGCCACCGGTGAAATGTACCCTCAACAAAGTATCCAGTATCAATGGTCAGAAGGCAGCGCAATGGATCTGTATAGTCAGCAAAGACAATTTGTACAGCATTCTTCATATGGTCAACAGTCGCAGTTCAATCAGGAGGTAAATTCTGGAAGTCAGCCGCAGAGTTCCTTTGTTGCTAATCAGACAGTTCAATATCTCACTCCTACGGCGCATTCTCAATATCCGCAAGCATCTATAGAGGTTCAGAAAGGATCTGCTTTTTCCCAGCCATATCACTATGTACAACAGACGTACACTGTTCCGTCCGACTTTCAGCAGCAATCATCTTACTCGCAAGATTCGAACTTCGGTCAAAGCTCTTACCCCCAACGTTCTCCTTTTACTCACCAGCAACAACAACAAACGGAACAGTCACAACAACAACAGCAGAACCAACCGCTCAGTTCCTCACTACAGCAGCACCTTAGCCAGCCAGTGCAGCAGCAGCAGCAACAACCGATTCTAAGACAAGTGTACGAGAATTCTGCTCAGTTCGTTCAGCAGTACAACCACTTGGTCCCCAATTACAGTACCCAGCCTGGGTGCGGCATGCAGAGCACGCAGCTCACCACTGCCTCAATGCAAGTTCATCAAATGCCGAGAGGTTGCGATATTACTAGTGGCAGTCTCTCCCAACATGACTCAGATATCGCGCATCAAGACCAACAGTCCGCAACCACTTTTGCAGCTGGACTGCTAGAAATGAATGTGTCGTCTGGTGCTGGCGTTATTGTAGACCTTCTCCGAAACGATGATCCGGTAACGTCTGGAGTAACTCTGGATGCCATTCAAAGCGACTATACCGGAATAGTTTCCACAACGATTACTGATGCACCTATTGTCGACTCAATTATGGACGGCCAACTGAGAACGTTTGGTATCACCCAGTGTCCTCCTCCTCCGCGTAATGACTCTGAAGCAACTGTTCCGGCACGAGCATCGCCAAGTTCGTGTTCACCTGGACTGATTGTTGGCGAAGACGAATCAAACTCGCTAATACCGAGCTTTTTCTACCCGAAAGATTTCGTTCAAAACGACTTGAACGATTTGAGGATTGAAGATTCGCCCATTGAAAAGACTCTAAATTGTCAGCATTTCCGATTTGATATAATTCTTGCAATGAAACATCACCGTATTGGCAAAGAAGACTATGAACGCACCTTACGTGAGCTGGATGAAATGGAAAAAGAGAAATGTGTCGGACCGCTAGGGGATTTGTTGATGAAAAGACTAGGTTTGAAACGACAGAGTCAATATACTCGCGATGGAAAGTTCAGTGTTGAAGAACTTGTCGCTGCATTTGCTGCAAACGCTAAGATTCAAGAGTCTAGTGCCAAAATGCCTGAGCGTAGAATGAGTTCGGAGTTGTTCAGCGAGTTACTGGAAGACATCACGCCTGTTCAGTCAAATACCACCGCACATCAGTTTAATTCTAAATCTTGCCCTGATTCATATTCAACGTCTTCCGTTGTCCCTACTTCCATGTCTAAATTGGATGTTTTGCAATCGGGCGAGGCCATGAACGATCTTGGCTATCTTCTGTCAGATGATGTTATCGCCGAGTTTGATTCGATGTCCGGTTCGAAACCTTTATCTGCTGGTGTGACGCTGCCATATACTCGTACTGACCAGCTATCTACTGGATCTCCATCATCATTAGTCCGCAAAGAAGCGCTTCCAGTCGCAGTTCCTGTTAACAAAGAAGTATCTTTTGATAAGTCAAAGGGGTCAAATGACTCTAGTACTTTTCTCACATCAGGTTTCAACGGAGACAAAACCTGTAATGAGGTACATACCCGAAATGGCAAGTCAATTGCGATGTTCTCGTCGTCGCCAGTTCCATCGCTGTCAACTGGTGAACCTTCCACTTCATCTCATGGTTCAGTTCTTTCATCCAGTCTGCTTGTTCAAGAAAGGACTGCAAAGGAGCTTCGTCCAAAAACTCAAATTAAGTCCAAATTCTCCTCACATCCAGATGATCAAGATACCCCCAGCGTCAAAGTGAAGTCGGCGTTCGGTTGTTCAGTAGCAGTTCCTAGGAGGCTACTTTCTGAAAGCGACCCGGTCTTGAGTAAAACTGCAGAGATTGGAGCTCCCGCACAATCTGCATGCCTATCAGACGTGTTTCCTACTGAGAGCTATGGAAGTTTATCTCCTTTCGTCATTAGTCCTGAGCCATTATCGGATGAAGATGACTGGTGGAGGAAGGATGACGAGACTCCTCCAATGCTAGGAGGAACACCTTTGAAGATAAGAGGAGTCACTAAAGACCTGAAGTTGCCAGTGAAATACTTCGAAAATCCTAAGCCCTATGATTATAGGGAGAAAGAGACAGCTTTTGCCCCAAATGTGGAAACGTCTCCAAAGGCAGCTGTTCCCATCACGAAGCGTTCCCCGAAACGAATTGAAGAAGAGGGAGATAGGCGACTGGTTGACCGATATCTACATTCGCCTTCGCCGTCGCATAAGATGCATGTGAAAAGTTTCGGCGAGGACGGAAATAATCAAAGCTATAGCAAGACAAAGCTAGCAGAACAACTAAAGAAACCTTCACAAAAGCTCAACAGAACTCTTTTTATTTCGGATTCATCTTCTGATGATTCAGTGAAGGAAGACACTCTCTTGCCCCCCTCCACATCCCGCGCCCACCAATCCACTTCACTTCCATCATTGCCTTGTGTGTCGCGGAAAAAGTCTTATTCTCCCCGCGACCATCATTCACCGCGTTCGGGAAAGAAGAAAAATAGAAAATCCTCATTGCCTTCAAAGCCATCCAAAGAATCAAAAGAACTTCCGCAGAAATCCGGCATGTCAAAGGTTGAGCTGTCACGTGAAGTGCTGGCCAAGCAAATTGCTGACATAATTGAAGATGAACGAAGCAAATTGCCTCCAGAAGAAGCTAGACTGCATAGAAGACCATTATCCCCTGCGTCTTTAGACGTTGTTATTCAGGATTTGATGCAACATCATATATCAGAAGACGCTAGTCCCAACAGGGAGCTTTTCGCTTCAAAGTTGCTAGGAACAGATATTTTCTCCAAATTATTTTTCCGAGCTGGGAAGTGTGTGTTCCGCCACTATGAAGAGCTAGACGATTTCCGAAGTAAAGAGAAAGGAAGAGGTCGCAGGAAGGGAGCAGCTACACGTAAGAGAGACACAGAACTGTTGCGTGGAATAAGAAAATCTCGTGAAATTCAAAAGTATAAGGATGCCTTACGAGCGGCCAAGGAGCCGTCTGAGGCAGAAAAAAAGGCCGCTGCTGAAAGAGCTAAGTTGGAAGCGATGCCATGGTTAGCACGATCCACCTTCAAACCGGATGTTCAACAAGGAACCTCATCACGATTCGTAATTCCGAAGAAATCTAGCAGTAATAGAAGCAGCGGAGAGGGCCCTATAAGTCGTGCTACAAGCGAATATCAACAGTGCGAAACAGCTGGTGAAACAGAGGTGAAATCAAGTCATCACAAAATGGTAGGAGGACCTAGCGAGCAATTCAGAAGTTGGTTGACTGGTGAGAAGGTCAGCCTAAGTAGACGAAGCCGATCACCGCCGACTCATCCACAGGGAAGCGAAGTCGACATGCGAGTGAATCATGAAGAACGCTTCACGAATGATGAACCGCCTACAGAGGGGAGGGTAGTGGAAGTTTCTGCGAACTTTTCATTTTGTTGGATGCCAAAGTCGTCTACTTATAAAGCGAGAGCGAAACATACATGGCCTCTGAAAAGGTGGAGATCTGCATTTACAATTTTGGAAGCTATTGAGGTACATCGTAACAGTGCAGCTCCAGAAGAACATTCTGCGAGTGACTCAGTGTTCGAAAGTGTCATGGAAGATGTAGACATAGCAACCAACAGCTTCGCCGAGATTTGTTTCCAAAAAGCGCCTATTGTCAAGGATAGTTCTAGCGCCTCTCAAGCAACATCATTTGTTTCGGCAAGAGAATCAGAACTAGCAGCCTTGGCTTTACAGGAAGAAATGTCAAGGAATGANCAGGATTCGCCGGATGTTCACTATGATGCTTTACGTTACCTGGCGGCAATGTCTGAATCGGAATTCTCTGCTCACAGTGACAGTCATGGGCCTTCTACTTCACCTCCAGTTGTGATTAAGGGCTCAAAAACCCATGATGGTGCTGCTCTAGAAGTGTTACCAAAAAGATTTATATCGGATCAATTGCGAACTGATCAAACTCTTTCCGAGCATTCAAGCTGGACCAAAATGGATACAACCGAACAACCGTTTTATGGAACTGGATTTGATAATGAGCCGTGGTCTTTATCTCTGTCAAATGCACATTCTCTGACTTTGGTACGTCCGACAGAAAATACTCAGTCCAGTAATTCAACGCATGGGGAAAATTCTTTGTACTCGAGCCTGCAGGAAGAGCTCGACACAATTGTAAGAGATACCCTTGGCGACACATTGTACAACCCCGCACCTATCAGTAACGCTGCACTGACTACGAGAGCACCTTCTTTGGAAAAGTTCGAATGGCCCAAGGCAGATGTACCGGTTCGAAGCTATGCACTTGACATCGTTCTACCACCTCTATTGTGTGATAAATCGAAAATCGCTATTCTGGATATGTGTAGATGTCAGCGTTGCACTACTCGATGCGAATATTTCTGCGATCATGAGGAATGGAAGTACCTCTACGACTACGCTAGGTCTCGTCCGAAAGAACAACAAAAGAGTGAGCTCTGTTGTCGCCCTCCATCTGATCAAATTTGTGTGAATAATCTCAACATTTCGAAAAAGTCAGAGGAGAGGTGCGTTAAAACCATCAACAAAGTACTTCAGTACACATCAGGCCGTGACCAGTTGAGTATAGCTGGCGTTTCTTCAAACCTCTGCACTTTCACTAAGTCTCCATCTGTTAAAAGTGTGAAAGGCCATTGGTTGATTGACCAGCGTGCTTTCGCTTCCAGGAAATTTAATAATGTGTTCGCTAATTGGAAGCAGTTGGAGATATGTCGTCCTCCTTGCTTGGAAGAGGCGATTGTGGTTCTAAAGGAATCACAGTATTATAGAGGTTGTGACCATTTCCCAAGCTTTGCTTCACCCATATCACTTCTTATTCGATGTGAAAATGAGATCAAGAGCAGTGCTGTAACTGCCGTGCCGATTAATCAAGTTACTTGTCAGGGAACTGCCATGAGTATACTTGCTACTCCTGTAGCTGTTCACTTTCAGAGAGGCGGATCCTCTGCAGAGTACGAACTTTCTATCTCGATTCCAAGAAATGAAGTTTCTATCTCAGAAATTGCGGATCTATCGCTATCGTATGCCCAAGAGAATGATGCATGGGCAGCTATAGCTACTATTAATGTGCCCCGTAAAACATCCACTTTGCTGAATATCGTTATGCTTAACGTGTCTTACAATACCCCTCAGTGGATTACGGAAACGTCTGTGTGCTCATCCGAGATAACGTTTACGCAGCCTCGTCTAGATACCACCATCTCCTATATTCTCCTGACCAATGTTGTGCGGAAACGGGTTGACTCGATTCATACGACTTCTACGATACAACCGATTCCTCGTTTGACAACGTTGTCATTTGCTTGTATCCGTTCAGACCGAAATTTCTTGATAAGTGGACCCGCGCAGGAAGCAAGGACCTCCCTTCCACTTCCGGTAGCGGATGTCACATTCTATAGAACTTCCCAACTGAGAGTACGACGGAGACGTATGGATGTGTCAGCATGCGCAGATATCGTTCTTTCCATTCCTCGTCTAGGAAATTCCATTTTGAGCGTCTTCGAACTGATAGCAGAAGAGAATCGAGCAGATATTCAGGAAGTGACTGTGTATTCTATCGCTCTGTCTCATAAAGAGAAGACTGTTTTGAATTTAACTGAAATAAATTTTCATCGTTACCAACTGGGAATCTCAGAAAGCTGGATAGGAGCAGTGCCCATACCTCGTATGGAGTGCACTGCTACTGAGATCCAAGAACTTAACGTGAAACGCAGGCGTACAGGTGTCACTGCCTCGTCTGATGCTGTTATTACTATTCCGCGCGTGGAATCTACAGCTTTTAGTGTGACTGAAGCAAAGTTGGTCCAAATACGTGGGGATAGCCGTGAAACCTTCGAGGTAGTGTCATCTGTGCCACGTGAGGAAACTGCTACATTCAAGTCTTTTACGTTGAAAGTGAAGCGTATTAACAGGACAGTTATGGGGTCTGTTAGCTACAGTCATCCGACTGCTCTCAAGGAAAAAGGAAATCTGGCCATTTACAGCACAAATGTACGACATCGAAAGATTAGCGGGGTGGAGGAGCTATGCTATTCCCATCCTGCTACGAATATCTCCGAAACGGCATGCTCTATCACAGATCGAAGTTTCGACATGATAAATCGCGAAATATTCATTTTTGGGTCAAACAGGGTAGTGGATATTTCTGCAGAAGAGGGCACTTCTACGGACATATTTGACGCAAGTGTCCGACGTTCAAGTAATGATCAGTTGTCGCTTGTCCAGTCAGGGACGAAATGTTCAGATTCAAATAAGTATATATTAGCAATGCACTCCTGTGAAGACTTATTTGAAAATGAGCCGAGCTTTGATCAAATCACCAAAAACAGCTCGGCCCTTGTTCCGATACCCTGCGGAGACGTAGAAGTTCTTCGTTTGCCTTCTGTTAGAATGTCGCGGAAAAGGAAGCATAAGGAAGAGTCGGCTCTATTTATGAAGCGAATAAAGATTGAAGGTCAAACAGTTCCATCCATTACAGATGAAAGTTTCTTCAATGATGCGAATCGTGTTACTGAAGTTGTACACGTTAAAGATCCAAGACTGCCGTTACAGTGCTCAAATACTTTTATGGAAGTGTCAATGAAATGGAGATGTTTTGCTCATCAGCATATGCCTCACATTGTTTTTTCTTCGTATTTGGTAACTCAATTCGCAACGTTACTTCAACGAGTGTTTGATGAAGGGGTAGTCCGTTTTACGATTACCATGAAGGAACTGAGTAGATTAATTGCAAACGTGGATGGGCGATATGACTTGAGTGTTTTTACCAGTCCAGATAAGGTCATGGCACGATCTTCTGATCCGTCAGGTCCAATTTGGGATCGATTGGTAAAGCTCCGAATGCAACGTAACTCTACGGAACTGCTAAATCGTCAAGCATTAGCACCGTTATATATATTTTTGGGCTTGACGAGTTTTCCACGACTAGGGAAACCCTGGCGTAAGTGGCTTAAACCAGTTGATGCCACCACGGAGTCAAGAATTGGTTGTCAACTTGCTCTTTGTATGCGAATACCGGATCTTGTTGGAGTTGATGATATGGACCCAAAATTGCAAGCAATCAAAATGTGGTGGACATTCATGATGATTCGTGGAACGCTGTCCTGGTATATCTACCCTTGTTTTTCCCGACGTCAGTTATTCCTTCTTGTCCGTCTCCTGGAGGCGCTCCAAGATGTGGAACATCCGCCATTCTGTCTCTATCCACCAAAAGTGTTTTTCAAAGCTGTTAAAAAGGTACTTCGTCATCCACGTTTGGATCTTATTCCAAAGGATGTCTATCACCCGGATATAACAACTATGGCTACGCTGCTGAAAATGAAGCGTAGTAGGGTATTCCACGTGGATCGATCGCTACCCGAATTACTATCACATTGGATGGACGATATGAATAAAATTGATGCATATTTAGCGGCCGATGTGAAGGTGAACATTATGAGCCCTTCGAGTTTCTTGACTCAAAGCGAGTGGGTATGGAAGAATTTTAGTCGAGGTTGTGTGCCTGACAGTATGAAGTACGACCGCAGCGTTGGTGCAGAAGAGATAATGAAAAAATTAGCGGATTGCGTTGCGGATGTCAATTTAACCATTGACCATCGTAAACGGATCTCTGCGTTGAGGACTGCAATAGGTGCATGGTCTAATTATGAGAGCGGGCCTTCAGTCGAACAGATTCCTGTAGATATAATAAATCCATTCGCGTTATCTGCTTCGTTCATTGCTTTGCTGCCGATGCCGGAAGGTTTTGTTGATGAGTGCTTCACATTCCTCGAAAAGGTGGTTTTCATGTTGCTATTCATTTAAGATTCCACCACGTTTTCAGTTTTTATACCTACTATTTTAGGTTTCGAAAAAGTCAACCCAGCCACGCCAAAATCCAACAAAAAGAAGCACAAAAAGCTCACTAAATTGGAAATGGAAACCAAGCGAAAGTATGTATTAGATATTGGCTGAGTATATTCCATGCTTTAATAATCAACTTTTCGTTGGAGGGCTGGCCTCCGCTGGGAAGCCTATAAACGTTGGCATAAAGGCCAATGGCAAAACGACGATTAACACACTGTTCGAAGAGTTTTGGAAAACACCCAAGGTGAACAACCTTTCATTATTTATATTCTCTGGATTTTGAATTCTACTACAGGGTGCGGCAAAAGTTCTGGCAATGGCAAATATGATTGTAAAAATGGTCAAATCGATCGATACATGAAACTACTCCAGCAGCATTTATCAACAGCTACATAGATCACAAAAACAAACTAGATCTCGAAATAGCCTCCTTTTGCGCGAATACAGGCTAAAATTCTCCTAGGAAATGCGTCGACACTGAGGTAGTCTCCGTTCAAATCCTCCCATGCTTCAACGAGGGTTGCACGTAGAGCATCCAAACTTCTATGCTTAGTAGAGCAGGCCTTCATCTTAAGAACGGACCACACGGAATAGTCCAATGGACCTGGGCCTGGACTGTTTGGGGGCCAATCGTCCGACGAGGGGAAGTCTGGGAGGTGCGTTGCGCACCAGTCCTATACCACTTGGAGCTGTGTGCTGGAGCTGAGTCCTGTTGATAAATCCATGTCCGGTTGCCAAAATGGGATTTTGCCCAGGGGAGTATCTACTTCTCCAACACACCTTTTGAGTAGGTCTTGCTATCAACATTGATCTTTTTCTCCCAGAAAATCAGGGGCATCTTGCCGTCCGATGTGATTGCCCCAAAAACCATCAACGACTTGTGGTGTACAGATCGCTGAGCAATTCTTCCATGTCGGCTGGCTTCTACAGGGCTTCCCGCTATCATCTCATCGTTTCGGGTGTACAGAAACTGATCTGTTGAAAACAGACATCCGCAGTGAAAAGGATGTTGCTGTACCGTGCCTGCGAAAGTCGCTTTAACAGCTCCTTACCTCTTTCTAGCCTAGTTTTCTTCACACGCTTAGTTAGCATGTGAGCTTTTCTGATCTTATAAAAGCGAAATCGAAGAGGGCTGGTGACAATCCTTCTAACTGATCGAGTAGAGATATCCACCTCGAATTTTCAGTTTCTTTCTCGGACCTACGAGGGTGGTGACGGATTTTCTCTCGAATGACTCTCACGATCTCCTTTGTCGTTGCACCCTTCAGTCTTCAACTTTTGGGCTTGTCCTCCATAGTTCCTGTCGTCCTGTACCTGTTAACGTTGTTGTACACGGTTCTCAAGGGAGTCTGGAGCTGTTTGAAGATGGTCTTTGCCGTGCATCCAGCCAGATGGAGGTGCAGGATGTAGGCTCGTTGGTCTTTGCTTGTCACCATTGTGTAAGATGGCATATTCAATAACTGCCCATTCATGGAATTATAGAAGAGGACTTGCAGTAAATAGTGGCACAGATCCTGTCGAGATCGAAGGCCTCACTTTTTTATAGAGAACCCGAAACGGCCTTTGCCAGAACTTTTGCCGCACCCTGTATTTACTGTCTGTTTGCTGTTTCTCTACTGTTTATTGACTTAAATACAGGATTTTTCAACCATTTTCGTTTTCAATAAAGAAGAGAGTATGACATCCCAATCACCTAGTAATGAAGTGAGTATAAAGCTACCTCCTTTCTCTCTCCATAGTGTAGCGGTACTTTTCCCCGAATTCCCCCCGCAAGCGGCAGGCTTCCGCGGCAGCCACCTATCTCGCGGTTGCGCGCGATCGGATGCAGCGAGTGCGAAGCGGTCTTCGGGGAAAAGTTACCGCGCTCCTCGTCATATATCTGTTAGTTACTGTTTTATTCATTGTTTGCACTTCTAGAGCAGTAAAGAAAAAGTAGAGCAATCGGTAGATAAACTCATCCGGAAACCTTATACCACTTCATCTAAGCAGGTATTCAGATCAGTTCTACACCTGCATTCCTCTGTTGTTAATCCTGTGTTTTTCACAAAAGATCACAATTCTAGAGCGTTCTGACGAAGTTTGGTGATAATCATGATTCCGTCTCAGGTATTTGTCGCTCTACTGTACTGAAAAAATCTAAGCAGGTAATGGAGTTTGTTCATGTTGCTTTGTTCTCTATCACTTCTTATGAAGCTCACTTGTCGTTGAAGGAGAATAGGGGAACAAAATTGACTGGAAAGTTCCACACTCTCTTCAATGGAAATTTTTTAATGGTATATACTGTTAGCATATCATTTGCAGCCAACATGATAATCTTATCAGTCCTTCCATGATGTTATAATGTTCTTGCACTGCTTTCATGCATTTTGAAAAATTTCAAAAAATTAGGTTGCTGTTCGATAATTGCTTGAGCTGATTGTGAGAGGTCCTTTTTCAGGCTAAAGTATCACGGTAGAAATGTCGTGAAATGTTCAAAACATTAAACACTTTATGCGGTTCGATATTTGTGACTCAACTCAAGAAGAAGGAAATATCAGCAGTCCCTATCACACTCGAAAATTTCCATGGAGTTGTAAAAACAGGGCAATCCGCGCAGTGATAATCAGTAAAGTTCTGGTTTTTGACGCCGTGTCCTAGTTTGTGTCCCTCCGACTCCGAATCGCTGAGCAACCTCTTATCACTGGATTCGTTGAAAACTTATACGTAGAAGTGTTGTGGGCATGAAATAATCCCCATACGCAAACTTAAGGGGGATTCGGTGGAAACATATGTTGCAGTTTGGTCCTTAGGATGTGTGAATCAGAGATGAGAATCGCTCCGCGATTCGGTCATTAACTTACATTCTGCACAAACTTTCGTCGATTCTCTTTTTGACATTTCGGGAACATAATAATCGACTAATGCAAGGAATCCTTACTGGTCGAGACGCACACAGGTAGTTGAAGCAAGTCAAATCTCACATGGGTATTGCTCTGGTGTCTAGACATAACCGCTGATAGGATTCGGCAATTTTCAATCATTCGTTTAATTCCTTGTCTCAGTGAGAGAGCGCAGATGGGAGCAAGAGTCAGGATTTTAAAAATCAATGGCAAAGCGCTCGACGTTTTTCATCTCACCAGGAAGGGATAGTCACCACCATGGAACTTTTAATGGAGACCCAGCTATATCGATAAAGTTCGAAATGCTGTTTACGAATTTTGAGATCATAACTTTGGAATGTAATATATCCTGAAAGCTTTTGAACGATCGGAATTTCCTTGAACATAGTGCTCTTTGAAAATGTGCAGGAGGAAAATCCTCTTCATAGGAGAAAAACCGAGTCTGGAGAAATATTCATTTTGGAGAGCTATGAAATCGAAACTGAGAAACAAGATTTATGAAAAATTTACGAGAAATGTTCTGTTCCGTTTCGAGCTGGAAAATGTAAAAGAGAAGGGCGCATGCTGTCAACCTTCGAAAGAGATACGGCTATGCCTTCTGTTACTCCATCTATGCACGATAGTGGGACGTATGTATAACGCCCAGGGAAGGGAAGGGGAGAGTAGCCGGTATACAGACTACTTGAATTTGGCTCCTTCAAATTTTCCGGCTGCGTCATTTTTCTGCCCTCGTCTGGCGCACTCCCGTTTAATGTAGTCTTTGAGTTTTGTGCTTGCCTGTCCAATGGGACCCCCGCCATCATCCCCGTAAGCCTTACCTAAAGTATTTTTCTCTGCGCTTTAACCTCTCGCTGTCAGGGACGCAGAGAAACTTTAAGTAGTCACGTAACCGAGAGTAACCCCAAGGAGAGGCTGCTTACATTGTTCGCCGGCCGGCCCTTGTTAACAACTGAACTGATCGCCACCGCAGGCTGAGAGCCACCCGACCGGCGCGCGCGCTCGCTTGCGGCGCCGGCGGACTATGAAGGCAGCCAAATGTTTGTTTTGCCATGTGTCAAATAAATGACGCCGGAGCGCAGTATTTTACCCTTCAGTACCGTGTGGACAGTGTCGGATTGCTATCCGAAGTCCGTGTTTTTCAATTAGATAAACCGGAATTTGGGAAGTGTGGATTTTTATCTTAGAGAAGCGCTTTAACAAAGTGGAGGGGAACTACACCCTGAGAACCTCACGGAAGTAACAAAAGGCTAGTATGTTCCACGGAATGTTTTTTGATTGTTGTGGAAACTTAGGAATGCGCATCCAGCTATCGCGCCTATTTCATAATGAATATCCAAATGTTATAATACTGCTCTCATACCTTTATTAATTGTGTAAGAAATAAATAAATGAAGAGAACAGTAAGAAAGTGAAGTTTAGAGAAAAATGCCACAAACAAATCAAATTTGTGTACCAGATGTCAGACGATTAGATGGTATTGTTTTATGGAGTTTGCGAAAAGTCATCAAATACCGTTTGGCAGCAGAAAGGGCTAGTTCACCGTTTTTGCAGAACTGTCCTCCAGGGCCAACTTCAGCACTATGAGAAGAGGTCATTAAAATCAAGCAGGCGCCAATCCATTCCATAATATTTAATCTATACGTACCAGTTCCTCCACTTTTCAACTTTTACACGTCTCCGAAATACTCCTCAGCTCAGGAACTTCATACCCGCGAGATCATGCACATACACAATCCTCCAAGCATCTACTCACAGCACTGCAACCCTCATTCTGTGATGCTTCATATCTCATAATATTTGTTCCTCGTCACTAGCAATGACACGAGGGTTGCCTTTTATACATTTGGATTGAGCAACCCTAGTGTTGCAATCTGGCAACGGACAGCTCTATCGTAAAGTTTGACATTTTCGAGGTTATACGTATTCAGAACGTTTTGACATACGAGCGCTCTTTGTGTTGTATACACTAACCAAAACAATTTACTCGGGCCCTTGGCGCCCCCACGCCCACTTAGGCCAGACCTCTTCCCCTAATCTCCCCTCCTCCTTTGGCGATGAAGCTCCATCAAAAACCAGTGCTTATCAGTGATATGGTGAATTCAACCGAGGTCGTAGTTCACTCCAAGACGAATTTCGTGGAGGTCTCCAGAATCAGTTGTTGTTCCGATGCTGTGCACAAACTAATATTGTAAGATCGTCATGTGACCTATCGTGTGATCGGTACAACCTTAGACATCAAAGGGACAAGCATACATTCAATATTGCATGAACTTTTGACTGTAAAAAAATTTGTTAACTTTGGATCCCGCAAAATTTGTCAGTCCCTCAAAAAAAAAAAGGCTCGTGTCGATTGGTCGGAAGAAATGCTCAAATAATACGATTCCGGTGCTTTGAAACACATCTATGANTTTTTTTTTTTGAATAAACTGGACATGTCGCAACCGTACCACCAGAACAACGCAGAACAGACAATTCTGAGTGGTAACAATCATTTGTGTGTCAGCTGTTTTACTGCCGAAGACGGATCACTCTCCACCATGACAATGCGAGCTCCCACACATCGCCTCAAACACATGCACTTTTGAGCACTCGAAACAACGATTTGGTGAGTCGCAGCAATACAGTCCCCTGGTGACTTCTTCTTATCCTGTACGTAAAAAACAAAAATGAAAGGTCAACGTTTTTCGACCCTGAAGAAGCCGTTGATGCGTTCAGAATGCATGTTTTAGAGATACCTCAATCAGAATGGCAAAACGACAATCGACATCGACAATTGGTTCGAACGTATGCAAAAGTGTATAGATTCTAATGGGGAATATTTTTGAAGGCAGTAAAGCAATTTTCAATTATTAACATTTATTTTTGTTTTCTAATCCCGAAATATAAAAGGCAACCCACGTATACATTCAGTCGATATCTCTCTCACCAATTCCGAAGTTTTTGGAAGCATCGCACACCGTTGAATTATCTCTCACTATTTCGATCACGATATACATAAACTTCTTGTTCAACAATGGCTTTTTTCTTTGGACGCCGAACTTCCCTAATGTTGCCATCATCATACATG